CACAGGAGACACAGCCTCCAACCTGGGCAGCGCCGTGGACGAGCTGATGCGGCACCAACCCACCCTAAAGACTGATGCCACCACTGCCATCATCAAGGTGACGCACGAGGGATGTTTTCAGGGTACCAGGACCACCCCAAGAGGCCCCCCCCCCCTAAAATTTTAGTCTCCTCTGTGCCTTTTTTTTCAGCTTTTAGAGGAGATTTGCAGTTTGGGCCGGGATCCCAAATACATTTGTCAGAAACCCTCGATGCAAAAAGCAGATGGGACAGCGGCGGCCCCCCCTCCTCGCTCCCCCCACGCTGCCGAAGAAGCTTCGAGTGAGGATGAGGAGGAGGAAGAAGTTCAGGCCATGCAGAGTTTCAGCGCTACCCAACAGAGTGAGACCGAACCCAGTCAGCAGTGAGTATTTTCAGGGGGCGGGGGGGCAATAAGAGATTTTCGGGGGGTGGACACTCTTCAACATGTCCCTGTCTTTGATTTTTAGGGTGGTGGGCACGGAGGAGCGCATCCCCATCCCCCTGATGGATTATATTCTCAATGTGGTGAGGAAAAAATAGGGTTCACCCCCCACTTAGGGGGGTTTTGGGATTTTGGGGACCCCCCCAAACCCCAATTTCCCCCCCTGAACCCCCAAATTTCCCCTCCCCCCCCAAAGATGAAATTCGTGGAGTCGATCCTCAGCAACAACACAACGGACGATCACTGCCAAGAATTCGTGGCCCAACGGGGGTTGCGTCCCCTTGTCACAATTCTGGGGCTCCCCAATCTTCCTGTTGACTTCCCCACCTCTGCCGCTTGTCAGGCCGTAGCCGGAGTCTGCAAATCTATCCTGGTATGGGGGGGGAAAGTTTTGGGGTGCTGGGGGGGACCCCAGAAAGGTTTGGGAGGGACGATGGCAGCCCCTGAAACAGGGATGGGGAGTAGGTGAGGGCTGGCAGGGCACTGATGCTGTCCCCCACCTCAGTGAGGGGCAATGGGGGTCTGGGGGTACCCCAAAAAGGTGACAAGGCACTGAGGGGGCACCCCAAAAAGGTCAGTGGGGGTTTAGGGGGGGCTGGGGGGGACCCTTAAAACGTGACAGGGTTCTGGGAGAGGACCCCAGACAGCAGAATAGGAGTCTAGGGGGGACCCCAAAAAAGGCATCAGGGGCTTGGGGGGGCACCCCAAAAAGCTGACAGGGGTCTAGGGGAGACCCCAGAAAGGCCTTGAGGGGGGGGTCTAGGGGGAACCCCGAAAAGCTGACGGGGAGCAGGTGGGGGATGGCAGTGTGCCTATGCCAGTGCAGGGGTGATGCTGGGTGCTGTCCTGGGGACCCCAGCCACCGTTTTACTTCCCCCAAAAATTCGGATTCCCCTCGATAAATTTCAGTTCCCACCAAAAAATTTTAGTTTTTTCTTGAAATTTTAATTCGTCTGTTGTCAATTTTGATTTGTTGTTTAAATAGTAAGTTGTCCTGTCAATTTTAATTTTTGGTTCAGATTTTGGTTTTCTCGTTGAATTTTAATTTTTTCTCAAATTTTAATTTTTTCTCAAATTTTAATTTTATCCCCAATTTTGATTCTTCCTTCCAGTTTTAATTTTCTTCTTCAGATTTTGATTGTTTCTCCAAATTTCAGTTTTCTTCTGATTTTGATTTGCCCCTCCCATTCTCCCCCTCCCCAGATTTTTGACTCCCTCTTCCCAAATCTTAATGAATCCCCTAATTTTCTACCTCCTCTCCCCACCCCGTAGACGCTGTCTCACGAGCCAAAGGTGCTGCAGGAGGGTTTGCTGCAGCTGGAAGCGGTGCTGTCAGCACTGGAACCCCTCCACCGTCCCATCGAGGCGCCGGGGGGGTCGGTGCTCTTGCGGGAGCTGGCGGGGGCCGGCAGCGTCCCCGATGCCACCCTCTCAGCGCAAGCCACCCCCCTCCTTCACGCCCTCACCGCCGCTCACGCTTACATCATGATGTTCGTCCACACGTGTCGCGTGGGGCAGGTAAAGAAGACTGGACACAACACTTGGAAGGGGAACACCCCCCCACCCCCATATTTTGGGGTTGGGGTCATCATCTTTTTCTCGTTGCCCAGAGTGAAATCCGAGCAATTTCGGTGAACCAGTGGGGATCCCAGTTGGGATTGAGCGTTTTGGGGAAACTGAGTCAGCTCTACTGCTCCTTGGTGTGGGAGAGCACCGTGCTGCTGTCGCTTTGTACCCCTAATAGGTATTGGCGGGGGGGTCTGGGGAGGATCTAGGGGGGTTGAGGAGGACTTTGGGGGAGTCAAGGAGGAGTTTGGGGA